ATTTAACAGAGAAAATATCAAAAAGACCCTTTAAAGTTTCGGGTAAACTTTAAAGGGTCTTTAGCATCTGAAGGGTCTCTTTTTTACCTACATTTTGGTACCAGACCCATCTTCTAGTTTTTTTCCTCCTGGGTCAGAATAAATGTCTAATGTAGTCATATTTGAACACACTGAGCATTGCTTATGGCTCTAAAATGTAGAAACAACATCAGTACTGACATGTTCTATATAATAGTTTTAACATCACTCGAGAAACTCATCGAGGTTGAAATTTGGTTCAAATCTTTAAAATTTAAGCACAGAGGTGTCGGTTGCGGTCGTGCAGCCTCGCTAACAGAGCAGGAAATCTTTTTATTCATTAACCACCGACAAACACGTTCAGACTGCACCGATGTTGGCGTCCAGCCTGAACCGCGCAGGCTCCTTAGAGCGCCTGGAACAGAGCCAGGACGAGAGAGCTGAGGTCTGAAGATGACCTGGAAGCAGTCAGAGTAGCAGAGGAAGTTCAGGGAAGGTTAACAAAGTCTTAAATACTTGTCATAGTTAACACGTTATGTAAACAGCTAGTGTTAGCATTAGCACCATTGTATCCATGTCTTTGTTGGCTAGTAACAGCTCAGGCAGGTTTTTCCTGCTAGCATTTTGTTGGAAGCAGTTAGACATGATCTAGCAGATGTAACCTAAACTGTTGTTCGGCAATTGTGCCACATGTTCAACTGGCTTCCTGCCAGCCGCTCTCAATGTTTTTGTTTCTCATGTTGCTAGGTGCCTAATGAGCGGGCGGTGGCCGAGTACGAGGCGGTGGCAACTTCGCACAGAAACTCGAGCGATGACGGCGCACACCCGCCGAAATCCACCACGGAAACTCCCACGCAAGCAGACACCACCCACACCTCACACACAGACTCTGACAAAGACCAAACGCACCCTGCGTCAGACGGAGGAACGCCCAAAGACAATCCGGTCTTAACAGAAGAAAACGCACATTGAGTATTCATTTAAAAACTATTGAATGCACACACAGAGGGCTTTAACCGTGGTGTGTTTCATTACTGCAAAGTGACCTGTCTAAACAAGTTCATCTGTCCTCCAGTTCAGTGTTAAAATCCTATTGTGTGGTGAAGTGATTCCTCTGCAGTTTATAAACACTGTGTGTCCAGATTATTCTAAAAGCTAGTGTAGTGTGTACATATGATCGTAAAATGGGGGATTATCCTTGAAAACTGGAAGCAAGCTGGAAATGGTTTAATTCTGGAGGTGGAGTGGTTTCTAAACTTCATTAATGGATGGTTTTTGCAGCAGGTTTGAAACTGATCTCTGCGCACTGCAACACCTTCCGGTGGACTGTGAAGGAAATTCCTTCATTTGTAAATGTGCCTCTTGATATGTTATTTAACTTAATTTACGTTTAAAATGGGAAGAAAACTGTTGAAGTGTTTTTAAAAGAAGTAATGATACAACGTGCAGCTTTGACTGGACGACAGCACAAATGACTTCATGGGATTTTAACTTGTGGCAGGGATTTTTTTTTTTTGTTAATTCTACTGTAATACAAGAGTTCCCAATCTGATTGTGCCGTAGATCATTTTCATGGCCACGCTTCGAATGTGTGGAGCTAAATTCACAATAAAAGCCTCTCAGTTGTGTCTGGCTGAGTGCTTTTAATTTGAAGCAGCAGCATAAGTAACTAACCATGAAAACTACCACATACTGAATGAGAAATACAGCAAACAGAAAAGCTTTACAACAAGTTTAAATTCAACCTGTGATTACTTAGTATATAAATAAAATCAGAAACATTTTCTTTAATGCACATAAAACAGAGGCTATCTTTTCTACTGAGGGCCTGCTTTTCTAAAAATCAGTGTTTATTTTTTTCTTGGGGAAGTTTAACCCATTTAAGTTAATGTATCATTTTAATGTTTCTCTAAAAGTTAACTAATGTCTGTTGTTCTGGAGCTCTTTCTACGATCCCCAAAGATTTCTGTAATAAAAAAAAAGGTCACCTTTCTCTTCCCTCCTCATAGAAATGACCTCTCCTTTCTCCTTGTCTTTGTAGAGTCATGATGAGGCACAACAATGTAAATTTAGAGGTAAATAACAAACAGTAAATTATACATTACATGTGCACACTTTCACCAAAGTTTTGTCTTTTTTTTTATGTGTGTTCTTCCCCTACGTTTCCACTGTTGCACAAAAAAAGGAAACACAAATAAAACAGTTGCATAAAATAATGAATCAAATTGCAAATACTGCAAATATATTGGTGAAAAAGTGCATAAAAATCAGGCAAATCTAGTTGCAGTAAAATAGGTAAAAATACATACAGTTTATTAAAGAGAACGTGATTCTAGGGACAAGTATAAGAATAAAATAAATTAGATTTTTACTAACTGCTAATTGCGGGACCAAAATAGTTTCTAATACCTTGGTGATAAAAATTTGAAATAATAATAATATGCACAGCCTGTGACGGCACACCTTCACAGTGCTTGAGTAAATGTCTGTCTCCAGATTAATTTGTGAAATTTCTTGAAAATATCAAGATGATTTCTCCTGTGCGATCTTTTCTGATTCTGACATGCAAATATATAAACTGGTGCTTATTAAAATTGGGTTTAATTCATTCAAGCGTAAAATAACCTCCGACTGAAAATCCGAGTGTAGACAGTCTGTAACCATAACTGTACAATGAGAATGATTCAGGTTAATGAAAAGGCAACCACATGAAATATAATTACAGTTCAGGTAGTTAATGGCACCGTATTATTTGCAAGATTATTATGTGTGGTGTCAACACGATCTCCATATTTCATGTCTCAAATGTCGCGGGAATAAAGCGAATAACCGAGACGTAAAAGAAAACAAGAACGAGCTCCGTCACGTTCAGGTGGATGGTAAATTACTTTGCCCCTCATATGACAGTTGACATTGATGTAGCTATAATGTGGTTAGAAGAACTATCTGAAAAACTGTTTATTACAAAAACAAGGACTGTTGGTTGTTAATGTATTTTTTACATAAGCTTGCAATAATTTGGTTACGTCTGTGGTCTGTCTGTTGGGAATCTCTGTAATACTTAAAACTGTATTTTTCAAATTCCTTAATTGTTGTGGTACCTTAAAAATGGACAGAGCTGGAAATGGCAAGAATATTTTCATTCTTAGACTCTACTAGAGTAGCTTTGTATGATTCACAGTTCAAAATAATCCGTATTTATCTTAAAATGGGTCTCACTTCCTCCCTTTGACCAGCCTGGGAATACACTGCACTCACTTAAGCGCTTTGATTCCAGCAGACGTGTTTCAGAAGTGTCTCTATGCTCGGGTATAGAAATCAGATAAAGTTTCAAAATAAAAGACCCTGAAGATTACATTTCTAAAACACTCCTGATGTGATTTGAAGACATTGCAGCATCCCACACTCAAACCTAGTGTATCCCCAGTAGGGATGACAATATGTAAGGACATCTGCTCTTACTATTATAAGAACTGATCAGATGGCGTTTGGAGTTTCCGGCTCAAAAGGGTTGCTTGTACATACGTTTTGCCCATGTTTAACTTGAGTTTTGGCCACTGGAACAGAAGATGGATGCAAAAATGTAGGAAAAGCAGAATTGGTCCACATAAAGACGTTACATCCTCTACCTTTGTTGCTCCTTGACAAATCAGATTTTTGAAGTCTCACGGGAGGAACTGCTGAGTCTGTTAATTCTCGTCAGAGCTCACTGAAGGAGCTGTGATGATGAAGTGCCTCTTTAAACTTCTTAATCATCATTATTGTTCTAACTTCTTATGATGCGATGTTGAGCAAAGACCCCTTTACTGTGCTACACTACACTGCCAACAGCTGACACGCTCTCTGCTTCCTTATTTTCATGCCAAATAGTTTTCAGTATTGAGTGTTTTTGTGCCGTATGTGTAGGAAAGCCTTAAAGATGAAGCTATTCGATGTACTGTAATGATGTGCAGTCAATTAAAGGACTTTTTGAAAAGGCCAATATCACTCCTTTATTACAGTAATCATCCAGTTTTAATTAACTTGATCTAAATGAGTGTGTTCTCTTATTAAAAACAAAGCCTTATATTGCTTTTCTTTCACAGGTGTGTTTGGTGTTGAGTAATTTGAAATATTCTGGGGTATTTTTTATTTTTGTTCATGTATATGAACTGCACTGAATCAAAAACCAGATATGAAAATAAGCCCCAAATTTCTCTAAAGACACAAACTGGAGAGTGAGTCAAATTGTGAATGTCTGTTAAGTTAGGAGTCTTAAAAATACTTAAATGACTCATAGGTCAGTGTTAAACGGCTTAACAATCAACAAGTCATTTCTCTGAAACTGGTCGGGTAAAAGGACTGGACTGAAAATAAGTGAAAAGCAGCCAATGTCCAAAGAATAACTTTAAAAGACCTCCGGAGCCATTGCTCAAGGCCGCTTTAAAAAACAATGACAGGAAAGTCTGAGTATAAAGAAATGAGGGGTGGCTCAAGACTTTTGCACAGCACTATAACTCCACCAGTAAATCAAAACTTACACCTCCCCTTTGCTCATGAACAAGACCCAACGATACAAAAACTCCTCGTCTCGCGAAAGCAGCTAATCCCAACCTAGAGTGGATACGCCACACTTAATCCGGCTGAAAACCATCACCTCAACATCTGCTGCTGACCTGACGCCCTGACTGAGTTGGAGATGATCTACCTTTTGATGAAGCCAGAAAGACCACATCACCTGAAAAACCAAACATTCCTCTAAGGAGCATGCCTTAATGTGGCTAAAATGAGTGCAATTTTTATTGCAGTAGGTTTTACGTGAGTAAAAGTAGAAACGTATATTCAGAAATCTACTCCAGTAAAAAGTACCCCAAAGGTAAAAGCCCACATTATTCCAGTGTAATCTATATGACTATTTTTTTTATTTAAATGAGGGGAGTTGTGATTCATTTAAATACTTTAATGTTTCATAGTTCATCTGTGTAAGTGTGCAGGATTCACACTGAGGTATTTCTGCACTGGTGCTCAGCGTTTGTGTGCTAAAGCAGCCACTTGATGGCAGTAGCGCTTTGGTGCATTTACAGAGTCTTAAATGGACTCTGCCAGCCTCTATATGTGTGTGGAGGGTTATTGAGGTCGTGGTGAGCCTGCTACTGATGGGTGTGTGTGGGAGGACAGTAATAGGCTTCCTCAAAAACTAGACTATGTGCTGTTGTTTAAAAAAAAAGAAAGGAAAGGAAAGGAAGAAAAAAAGAAATAATAAAATCAAAACCCGTCTTGGCACGCTCAGCCTGTCTGATATCCGTGGAGAAATTTCATCAGCCCCGGTGCTGTTGATGCTGTTGTTGTTGTTTTGTCTTGCGTGGTCCTTAATAATGAACAGTATAATGGTGTTGTTTTTCTTCTGAGGTGTCATGACCACGAGCTGCAGAACAATGCCACACATTTTAATTCAAATGGCGCGGAAGGTCGAGAAGAGGCCGGCTCTTCTGTTCCCTGACATGTCTCTGAAAATTGCAGGGAATTACTGCAGCGCTGACCTGCAGACAGTTCCAATTAGTCGAACAAAGAGAGTCGTGTATGTTGGTCATTACTGCATCTTGCAACTTGATTATTTGACTAATGGGAGGAGGGGGTAAAAATGCAAATAAATGCTGCCAATTTTTAGTTTTGGTCCCTAAAAGCCACATTAAAACACATTTTGCTGTAAACTAACAGCTTTCTCCTAATTATCAGGAGTCAAATAAGGCCCTCACACCCCGAAGGTCATTTTCCACCGCCTCACCATCTTAGCATCTACTTTCTTTTCCCCCTAACCTGCTCCTTTGCCCTTTCTTTGTTCCATTTGAGCTGAAGAACAAAAGCTAACGTTAATTTACATGCTACAGAGCCTCATCCAGAGCCTTAATTGTACCAATTACCATTGATATTAAAGAGCATTCAGTCCTGGCCAGCTGCTGCCCAGATACAACCTGAAGCTATTTTTAGTTCCCTCGCCTCACTGTCATGGCACAGAGAGGCGAGACAGACACCCTGAGGAGGAACTGTTGAGTCAAGGTGACGACGGTGCCCGATGTCCACCGAGACTCCTTGAGGGATCAGGGACAAGTGCGCGGTCAAGGGTTGCAAATAAAGCTACAAGCCTTCAGTAACCCTAACCCTGTGCTATCAGTACAATAGTAGTAAAAATATTGTCTTTCTTTTTATTTTATTTTATTTTTCTGTAAATCACAGAGTTAGGGGTTAGGATTACTGTTGCGTCTCATTATTATGACGACTCCAGAGGGTTAAAGGAGGTTTCCCACATGAATCGAGTTTTGAGCCTCAAAATCTTCTGAAAAGTTCTGGCTTAAATAAACCCGAGTTTAAAAATGAGATCAAAGTGCAGTCTATCCCTAACCCTGAGTGTTAGTGAGAAGCAAAAAAAAGAGAGAAAAGGTTATGTGTCCCCTGATTGCCAAGGCTTTGGAGAGCAATTTTAAAAGAACCATAAATAAATAAAATCATGTCAGGGTTAGAAAAGATCGATGGTGACTTAGACCTCATGGGATTAAACATGAACACATTAACCCATAATCTTTGTTGTTCCAGTCCCTTGACTTTCTTGATTTTTGTGGTTGGAAACCATCAGCAGTTTGATTTGTGAGACACGCATCATATGATGTCATCAGAGACTGAAAATCGCAGTGAAGAAAGTAATGAGAGGATGAGTCACGCTGGCTGTCATTGCTTTAATTTAGGTTTCTTTTTCTCCCCTTTTTCTGCTCTCATATTCTAGTTTCCAGCATTTTAAAATATGAAGTGTGTGCAGCCAGTGTCCTCCCAGCCTCTTTAAGAGACCAGGGACAAATACCCAGTCCTGAAATTTGAGGGTTGCAAATACATTTAGTGCCTCTAACCCTGAGCTATCAGAATTTATGGTTTAGTGTTTGGGTGAGCAGTGCTTCTCATCATTATGATGATTTTACCAAGGAAGTTTACCAGGCTCTCGAAAGTGGTTTTAAGGCCCCCATAGAAAGGTGCTAAAACAGATCTGAGTTACCCCCAAACTATTTTTATTTCAGTCCCTTGATTTTCTTCTTTTTAGTGGTTGTAAACCATCAGTGGTGCAATTCATTAGAGAGGCATCGT